TCTGGAAAGTCTTGATCTTAAGCTAGTTTGAAGATCTTGAAGAATTAGTTCCGAAAAAATCAGGGCAGTTCAACTAAGTTCAACAAAATTCCAAAAATTTTGTTGCAGTTGCTTAAATTATTTGGTTTTAAATTTCAAAAAATGTACCATAGAGAAGCCCCCATAATTTCAGGGAAGTCCAAAGAACTCCAAATAAGTTAAGTTATCTTCAAAAAAAAATTGGGGAACGTCACAGAAGTCCAGAGAACTTCAAAGATAATTCGAGAATTCCAGAAACTTAACGGGTTCGTTAGAGAAGATTCATGAACTCCAGGTAAATCGTGAGGAGTTCAGAAAAGTTTTGAGTATTTCAGAGATTCTAAGAGATGATGCGTTAGCATAATTCAGGCACGATCAAAGAAATTTTAGATCGATCCATAAACCTCAGAAATAATGTTGAAAACTTTTAAGAAGTTTTGAGAACTTCAGGGAAATCCAAAAAACTTCTGGAAAGTCCAAAAAAATTCTAGGATGTCCGGTGAACATCTAAAAAGTTTAAACAGTCCAAAGAGCATCGGAAAGTCCAAAGATGTTTACAGAAACTACGTGAAGTTCGGGGAAGTTCTGAGAATTTCATGACAATTACGCGATGTTTGAGTCAAGTTCAATGAACATCTGGCTGATTATGGGCACTCCACATAAGTTCCAAACACTTTAGGAAAAATACTGGAAATTATCTCCAGTGGGGCAGCATATGATCATTCAGCGGGTAACCAGCTCTTAATTTACCACGACAGCACTGGACGTGAGCAGTTCTTCACTTAATCGTATGAGTACTTCCGTATCTGCTGCATATTATGAGTCATACAGTGAGAAGCTTCTCAATCATTGGGAGATGAATTTAAACTTAAGTAACAAACTTTCGAGCTTTTGTGTAAGCTTTGTTGGGAAACTTTTGATTCCAAATGATGTTCAGCCCAATCTCAAACCCACCACTCTGCCCAACACTCACCGTCCTTCTCCACCAGATTGCATAACTGTTTGTATGCGGCACAAATATTTCCTAGACGCAACTTTAGCTCTCTCCAACAACCATTTATCGCAAAACCATCGGGGTCTACTATAACGGTCCACCCGGCTGCAGCTCCGACAAACGCGTTCCTAAGGCAATCGCGCTGATGCGGACAAACAAAAATTGCGAGAGCCACCATTCACCGAAAAAATTCGCCCCGTCATCTTTGGAATGGCCGCAAGTCGGTCGCATCATGCATCGGAGGAAAGGTACCGTTTGTCGTGGATGCAAGCAGATGGGACATTTTTGCCATTAAATAATCCGTCAGACTTCAAAGACCTTTTGGCCCGACACGATGAGGGTCATCCAAGCAGGCTTCCTCCTAGGCCCAAGTCACCAAGACGACGACGACGACGACGACGACGACACCGGTGACGGTGAATGTGTTTATTAGACTTGAATAGCGGAGATAAATATATTGTTATTAGTTTCGTATGCAAATTGGAGGCGATATTTTTCGTCTTCCTTTTGCGTTGGTCGTGGTGGCGCAACCGTTCGGATGCTTCCTATACCTGATCCTAGAACCACCCCGCGATCGACCCGGCCATGGAAAGATAATTACCCGTTGGTAGTAAAATTTGAAACCAAAATCTACTTGCTCGCTCGAACCTCAGAGCGCACTAATTGCCTCTCCATTGCTCAGCTCGAAAAGTCTCTAATTCAATTCACCCGCACCGAAAAACGCTTAAATGCGACACCGGCAATTAAAATTGACACTTATTGCCCTCGTTTGCAGAGGAACCGAAATCTACCCAAAGCAAGCGGTGCAGTTTCGTGAGCGGATTTCGCCTGCTGCGATTGCACCGGGCCAAAACAACATCATCATCATCATCAGCATCAGCATCATCGGTACGGTTCCATCCGGAAAGGCGAGATCGCGTTAAATGGTGCAAACGGTAACTGCTAATTATGCAATCTGTTGCAATTGCAGCTCCCTGCTAACCTGAACTAGCGAGCGAACGAATGAACGAACGGTGTGAATGTTTGGTTTTTACCAGCTCTATAACTACACACTCATTAATTCATTCATTTCGGTGTCCTCCTCTAGAGTTAGAGGTACATTGCAGCGACGGGATTCGGGTTACCCAATTGCGAATCTGTTCTGCGGTGGGGGCTAGGAGCGATTTGGACAGTCTCCGCTGAACCTGTGGAGCTTCTGGAGTTTTCGGACCGAATGAGCTGTGTGATTTATGTCAGGGCTGTAGTCAAGAGTCTGTCAACAATGTCAATTGACGTAAGATATTGGTCTAGCACTGAATTTCACTTCCGACACTGATGTTCTTCGAAAGCATAATTTCACTAGGGAAATGTTGAAAAGCTTACTTTTATGTCAATAAATCAACTATTTGGTATAATCGTTGCATTGTTTTAATATTACTGATGGATTTACAAAAGGACTTCATCGAGAAGCTGTTGGAATTCTCCCCCGAAACTGACACTGAAGCTAATTATGTAGCTTCTCAATAACAAGCTGAGATGCTTCTCATCGAGCAGAAGCTGACTACTTTCGCACAGGGCAGTTGACCCACTTATCATAGAGAAGTTCACTTACTTCGCACAGAGGAGCTGACTGACTCTTAACTGAAAAAGCCTCCCATTTAGAATCTGAAAATATTTTTACCGTCGAATTTATTTTCTTTTCGTTGATAGTGAAATATTCTCACTGCTGCTTATTAATGTTTCACCTTCAAGCTGCAGCAGAGTAGATCACATCGAACGAAAGCAGATTTGTTTCTCACAGAAAAGTTGATTTGATTCTCGCTAAGAACCTGACTAGCTTCTCACCGAAATACTGACTATTTAAGTCTTCGCCGAGAAACTCTAGAACAACATTTGATATAGGCGAAACAACCAAAACACATCCAACCAATCTAACATCAGCATCGGATATATCATGCTTCCTTCATCGAATGGCATTGTTAGTATGCGTGGATGTGATTTGATTATCTGGAAATTTGCTTTTAAAGACATTGTTTACCTTTGGTTGTTCCGCCTATTTCAATTGTTGGTCTAGAACTGACAAGGTAGCTGACGAACATTTTATTTATATTATCGCTAATTTCCCACCATCAAGATTTTCCTCGAGAAGTTGACGTTTTTCTCGATAACACTAGTAGCTCATTAGCCTTTCACTAAAAACTGAGAAGCTTCTCATTGAGCCGAAAAGCTGACTAGTATTCTATTAAGAGTCTGACAAGGTTTTCGTCGAGAAAGCGATTTTATTCTGAACGATGCCGACAATCTTAAATATCACTGAAGCTAATCAGGCGAAGCTGAGTGGATCTCATCGAACAACAGCTGAATTGCTTCTCACTAGCTTCACATAGAGAAGCGGTGACTGCCTTCTCACCGAAAATACTGGCCAAATACTACCCACAGAAGCCTGACAAGGCAGCTCACTTAATTTTTATAGAGAGCTGGTAGAGTAAGGAAGCTGACTAACATTTTATAAATAATTTAATCAATTACACACTGACAAAGATTGTCTGACGGACTTCTCACCGATACTGAAAATTTGTTAATTAGCTTCTCACTAAAAAGCTAAGAAGCTTCTATTGGAACTGCAGCTGAGTAGCTTGACTCACTTATCGTAGAGAATTTCATTACCTTCTCACAGAGAAGCTTGCTAACTTTCAACCGAAAAGCTGGCTTGCCTCCCATTCTGAGTCTAACAAGGTTTTTACCGTAGAATCGATCATCTTCACACTGAAGCTTATAAAATACTCAACAAACTACATATGAGTATATATCATCGAGTAGAAGCTAGTTTGCTTATCACAGTGAGGTTTCCTTATTTCTCACCATAAATCTGACTAACTTGACATAGAGAAACGGTGACTACCTTCTAACTCATCATTAAGTCACAAGGTAGCTGACCAATTTCCCACTTAGGATTTGACTGAATCTTACTGATGCTGACAATCTTCTCACTGAAAACTCAGTAGCAACTCACCGATTTATTGCTGACTTTCTTCTCACAGAGAAGCTGACTTCTCTTCTACCGCATTTTCTTGAAGTTCATGAAATATTCTTGAGACGAGAGGCGAGAGACGAGAGGTGAAAGACGAGAGGTGAGAGACGAGGGATGAGAGACGAGAGGTGAGAGACGAGAGGTGAGAGACGAGAGGTGAGAGACGAGAGGTGAGAGACGAGAGGTGAGAGACGAGAAGTGAGAGACGAGAGGCGAGACTGATAGGTGAGAAACGATTGGCGAGAGGCGAGAGACGAGAGACGAGGGCGAGAGACGAAAGGCGAGTGGCGAGAGGCGAGTGGTGAGAGGCGAGTGGCAAGAGACGAGAGACGAGAGGTGAGAGACGAGAGAGGAGAGACGAGAGACGAGAGGCGAACGACGAGAGGCAAACGACGAGAGGCGAACGACGAGAGGCGAACGACGAGAGGCGAACGACGCGAGGCGAACGACGAGAGGCGAACGACGAGAGGTGAACGACGAGAGGCGAACGACGAAAGGCGAACGACGAGAGGCGAACGACGAGAGACGAGAGGCGAGTGACGAGAGGCGAGACCGATAGGTGAGAGATGAAAGACGAGAGACGAAAGTCTAGAGTCGAGAGACGAGAGGCGAGTGGCGAGAGGCGAGAGACGAGAGGCGAGAGACGAGAGGCGAGAGACGAGAGGCGAGAGACGAGGGTGAGAGACGAAAGGCGAGTGGCGAGAGGCGGGAAACGAGAGACGAGAAACGATAGACGAGAGGCAAGCGACGAGAGGCGAGCGACGAGAGGCGAACGACGAGAGGCGAACGACGAGAGACGAGAGGCGAACGACGAGAGACGAGAGGTGAGTGACGAGAGGCGAGTGACGAGAGGCGAGTGACGAGAGGCGAGTGACGAGAGGCGAGTGACGAGAGGCGAGTGACGAGAGGCGAGTGACGAGAGGCGAGTGACGAGAGGCGAGTGACGAGAGGCGAGTGACGAGAGGCGAGTGACGAGAGATGAAAGACGAGAGGCTAGAGACGAGAGGCGAGAGACGAGAGGCGAGAGACGAGAGACGAGAGGCGAACGACGAGAGGCGAACGACGAGAGGCGAACGACGAGAGGCGAACGACGAGAGGCGAACGACGAGAGGCGAACGACGAGAGGCGAACGACGAGAGGCGAACGACGAGAGGCGAACGACGCGAGGCAAACGACGAGAGGCGAACGACGAGAGGCGAACGACGAGAGGTGAACGACGAGAGGCGAACGACGAGAGGCGAACGACGAGAGGCGAACGACGAGAGGCGAACGACGAGAGGCGAACGACGAGAGGCGAACGACGAGAGGCGAACGACGAGAGGCGAACGACGAGAGGCGAACGACGAGAGGCGAACGACGAGAGGCGAACGACGAGAGGCGAACGACGAAAGGCGAACGACGAGAGGCGAACGACGAGAGACGAGAGACGAAAGGCGAACGACGAGAGGTGAACGACGAGAGGTGAACGACGAGAGGCGAACGACGAGAGGCGAACGACGAGAGGCGAACGACGAGAGGCGAACGACGAGAGGTGAACGACGAGAGGTGAACGACGAGAGGCGAACGACGAGAGGCGAACGACGAGAGGCGAACGACGAGAGGCGAACGACGAGAGGCGAACGACGAGAGGCGAACGACGAGAGGCGAACGACGAGAGGCGAACGACGAGAGGCGAACGACGAGAGGCGAACGACGAGAGGCGAACGACGAGAGGCGAACGACGAGAGGCGAACGACGAGAGGCGAACGACGAGAGGCGAACGACGAGAGGCGAACGACGAGAGGTGAACGACGAGAGGTGAACGACGAGAGACAAACGACGAAAGGCGAGTGACGAGAGACGAAAGGCGAACGACGAGAGGTGAAGACGAGAGACGAGAGGCGAGTGACGAGAGACGAGAGACTTGTGACGATAGACGAGAGGCAAGTGACGATAGGCAAGCGACGAGAGGCGAGTGACGAGAGGCGAGCGACGAGAGGCGAACGACGAGAAGCGAACGACGAGAGGCAAACGACGAGAGGCGAACGAAGAGAGGCGAACGACGAGAGGCGAACGACGAGAGGCGAACGACGAGAGGCGAACGACGAGAGGCGAACGACGAGAGGCGAACGACGAGAGGCGAACGACGAGAGGCGAACGACGAGAGGCGAACGACGAGAGGCGAACGACGAGAGGCGAACGACGAGAGGCGAACGACGAGAGGCGAACGACGAAAGGCGAACGACGAAAGGCGAACGACGAAAGGCGAACGACGAGAGGCGAACGACGAGAGGCGAACGACGAGAGGCGAACGACGAGAGGCGAACGACGAGAGGCGAACGACGAGAGGCGAACGACGAGAGGCGAACGACGAGAGGCGAACGACGAAAGGCGAACGACGAAAGGCGAACGACGAAAGGCGAACGACGAAAGGCGAACGACGAAAGGCGAACGACGAGAGGCGAACGACGAAAGGCGAACGACGAGAGGCGAACGACGAGAGACGAGAGGCGAGACCGATAGGTGAGAGATGAAAGTCGAGAGACGAAAGTCTAGAGTCGAGAAACGAGAGGCGAGTGGCGAGAGGCGAGAGACGAGAGGCGAGAGACGAGAGGCGAGAGACGAGGGCGAGAGGTGAGAGACGAGAGGTGAGAGACGAGGGCGAGAAACGAAAGGCGAGTGGCGAGAGGCGAGAAACGATAGACGAGAGGCAAGCGACGAGAGGCGAGCGACGAGAGGCGAACGACGAGAGACGAGAGGTGAGTGACGAGAGGCGAGTGACGAGAGGCGAGCGACGAGAGGCGAGTGACGAGACGCGAGTGACGAGAGGCGAGTGACGAGAGGCGAGAGACGAGAGGCAAGAGATGAAAGACGAGAGGCTAGAGACGAGAGGCGAGAGTCGAGGGCGAGAGGTGAGAGACGAGGGCGAGAGACGAAAGGCGAGTGGCGAGAGGCGAGAAACGAGAGACGAGAAACAATAGACGAGAGGCAAGTGACGAGAGGCGAGCGACGAGAGGCGAATGACGAGAGGCGAACGACGAAAGGCGAACGACGAGAGGCGAACGACGAAAGGCGAACGACGAGAGGCGAACGACGAGAGACGAGAGGCGAACGACGAGAGACGAGAGGCGAGACCGATAGGTGAGAGATGAAAGACGAGAGACGAAAGTCTAGAGTCAAGAGACGAGAGGCGAGTGGCGAGAGGCGAGAGACGAGAGGCGAGAGACGAGGGCGAGAGGTGAGAGACGAGAGGTGAGAGACGAGGGCGAGAGACGAGGGCGAGAGACGAAAGGCGAGTGGCGAGAGGCGAGAAACGAGAGACGAGAAACGATAGACGAGAGGCAAGCGACGAGAGGCGAGCGACGAGAGGCGAACGACGAGAGACGAGAGGTGAGTGACGAGAGGCGAGTGACGAGAGGCGAGAGACGAGAGGCAAGAGACGAAAGACGAGAGACGAAAAACGATAGGTGAGAGATGAGAGGCGAGAGACGAGATCGATAGACGAAAGACGAGAGACGAAAGACGAGAGACGAAATTCGAGAGACGAAAGTCCATTTTGAAATCCAATATGGTGGATTCCGGTTACAGAAAAGCTTGAAAATTCTGTTAAATACCCTACAATATGGGTATTTTTGGAATCGGCGTGACGTGTAGGAAACGTGAAATCCAAGATGGCAGCTTCAATTTACAGCAAAACTTGTAAATTCTGTTAAATACCCTACAATATGCGTATTTTTGGAATCAGCGTGCCATTTACGGACCAGAAATCGATGCCTGACGCCATTTTTAAATCCAATATGGCGGTGCCCAGTTACAGAAAAACTTATAAATTCTGTTAAATACCCCACAATATGGGTATCCTTGGAATCGGATTGACGTGTAAGGACCGGAAATGTCTGACGCCATTTTGAAATCAAATATGGCGGCATCCGGCTACAGAACATCTGGGAAATACCGTCTAATATTCCACAATATGGATATTTTTGGAATCGAATTGATGTTTAGGGGGGCCGGAAATCGATGTCTGACGCCATGTTGTTCCAAGATGATGGCTGGATGCGACCACCTTGGATTTCAAAATGGCGTCAGACATTAATTTTCAGTTTTTAGACGTTACCCCGATTCCGAAAATACCCATTAGAGTGATGCAAAATTTGAAGATTTCACTCCACAATACTTAAACGATTCCAAATCGGATCCTGGCTAACCTCTCAAAATTTGAACTCATTTGGTGAGAAACTGAGATGGCACAAACCATTTGAAGTTTGTATGGGAATTACTATGGTGAAACCAAGATTTTTGTTCATTTCTATCTAATAATTCACCATATCGGTCTGCTTCAAAAGCTTTCAATTAGTCTTGTAGGAAATTTTCCCAGCTGCAACTTTGCTCAAGACCATTTTTTGATTAAATGCAAGGATTGAAAGTTATCAATGGTTCAATGCGCTGATGTCTTATTATCATGCTCAATCAACTGCTCAGCAGGCAACATTGGTGTTTCTGTGGCGTTGAATAGAACACAAAAATCATGGCTACTATGTCACACTGCACAATACAGTGTTGCCTACAGAGCAGCTGCTTGATCATGCCATAAGTTTACCAATATCTAAAATAATTAATAACTTTTTCCTGCCTCGTTTGACATAGAAACGATCTTGTGCAAAGTTGTAGCTGAGAAAATTTTCTATAAGAATGGCTATCGAACTGTTTCGCAGCTCAATATGGAAAAAGACTAGAAGGCAATGAACAAAAAGTTGAGATTTCCCAAAGTAATTTACATGTAAACTTCAAATGGCTTATGCGAAGTCTGTTTCTAACCAAATGAGTTGTAACTTTGGGAGGCTAATCAGGACCCGATTTGAAACCATTTAAGCACTGTGGAGCGAAAAAGTCAAAATTTGCATCAGTCTAATACCCATATTGTGGAATATTGGTAGGTATTTCCCAAATGTTCTGTAACCGGATGCCGCCATCTTGGATTTCAAAATGGCGTCAGACAGATTTCCGGCTCTTACATGTCACTCCATTTCCAAAAATACCAATATTGTGGGGTATTTGACATTTTTTTCAAAAACCTCTTTTTACGAAGTAAATCCCAAATAACGTGGTTTTTTTACGCACTCATTCGATTTACGAACCCCCGGTTTGGTTCGTAAATGGAAGGTCAAGTGTAGCCAAAGTCGCCGAAAAAGCTTACAATTTACATTTCAAGCAGATAAAGCGTTGTCGTACTTTGAAGTAAAAGCGCAGAAATAACGAATTGATCACGCTCGACCTTCTCCGATTTGTTCGAAACTTAGCGCAATTTGTTGTTATGGGATTCACATTTTTGCTAATAGTCGGCCATTTTGGATGTAGTAAATTTTTCAAAATCGTGTCTAAATTTTTCAAAAAACTTTAGCATAGTTCTTGTTCTTGTTTTACAATTTTTGTCAATTTTGAAGCGTCCATGTTTTTTTACGTTTGCATTTTTCATGAGCTCAGTTAAAATCGGTTAATGACATTTTCAGATATTAAGGATTTTATTTGTGTTGAAATTACTAAAACAAGTAATTGTATATTTTCCCCAGAAAAAAAACATTTATTATTCTCTATAAATTTGTCTCATATGTCATTTCGATCAGTGTCGTTTCTTTGCTAAGGTTTTTTGAAAAATTCAAACACCATTTTAAAACACTACAATGGACAGCCCTATGGGGTTGTAAGAAATGCTGACGTAGGACTACGTGGTCTTATATAACAAATCTTATTTGTTAACTGCAGCAGGAGCTTGTGTTTTGGGTAGGAATAGGACTTTGAGCGGGGTTATCTCTGTTTATACTCTTTAGTATGACGCGCTTGACATAGATGGCCCACAGCAACTCACGAAGAGCTACTGATTCCGATTAATAGCGGTACGGCTTCTTCCTCCTTCTATGGATGCACATGTGGACTGCAGCTCGCTGGTTGCAGGCAGCCTTTCGTTGTGTACTGGAGAACAATGTTGAACGCCACGTGCCGAAAGCACTGCTGCTGCTGATGCCGACGATCACACACGATGATTGGAACTGAATCCGTTCAGCGGTTGAGGCATGCCTTGGTAGCTAGCTGCCTGCGGGGAGCCTTTCGTTGTGTACTGGAGAACTCCACCACTCACCACGCGGTGATTGAATAAACACCGTTTGGTTAGACCGGATGGAATTCAACTTTGAAATTTGTGTTAGAGAAATCGCTTTTCGCAGGCAATCGGTGATAGTTTTAATTATCAAAGCAACAGTTGCACATTCGACATTTTGAAAAAATGATTAAGTCTTGAATTTAACAGATGCGTCGAAATATATTTGATCGATTGGTGATCAAATTATTTAAATTGGTCCAGTTGCAGCTGAGTTATTAGCGTTCAAAATCTTTCATAATTTTGTTACATGTTCCATTTTCGGTTTTCAAAAAGTGTACCACCATATAGAAATCACAGACGTAGTCCTACGTCAAAAAATAACTAGATCCAAAATGGCCTAATTTTAGACAAAAGTTAATCTATTCCCGTAACAAACAATTATTCCAAGTTCGTGCAAATCGGAGAATGACAGTTTTTTTCGATTTGCCATTGAGCGTGGAACTGCGCGTAGGCATTCGAAAAATAATGTTCAAGAGTCAGATCTCACCAAAAGTGGATAAATTCCATTTTTCAACCACATTCGAACCTTCCGCAGGCTACAACCCTGACCAATTCTTCCGTACAGTCATATTCCACTGCATTCCGATGTGCAAGAGGGAAGCCAAAAATCGCATTTCGGTGGCACTCTCGACCGCTCTACCGTCCTCTTGTCGCCGGCCGGTTGGTGATGATTATGCTGATAGAGTCACCTAATCGTCGCAAACGAGATCACTGTGTATGGACACACAAAAGACCGAAAAGGTCCTTCCATGCCCTCGCCAGCATCGCAGAGATCACAAATCGCCTCCGGTGTAGGTACGTAGGTACCTATGCAAACGGACGTCAGAGCTCATCGAGTACCGTACCGTGCAGGGGAACGTGCTCTCTCGCTAACAAACCCGAAAATTAATATGAATTTAAAAGCTTCCACCTACTGTCGTGCATCCACAGTAGGTATGACGACGGATGGCGCAACGGGTTCCACTCGTACCGTTCAACTCGGTACACGGATGCACGTGGACCCATGCGCCGGCGGTGACGACCGTAGTAGCACCAAACAAATTTTCGGCATTCACGTGTAATCGCTTTTGTGTGGCTAAATCCTACCCTCTAAATCGTATGGTCCTATGGGGTAGAACCGGAAAGCTAACGACGACGACGACGACGACGACGACGAGAGCATTCCAATCAACGTGTCGTGAACTCTTAATCGGACTGGCGGCAGAGTGTTTCGAGGTTAGTTTGCAGATGGGGATTTTTCGGAATAGTTTTCTGGTGCAATTGGAGTGCGAGTCTGGTGGAGGTAGGATCATCTGCTGTGGGAGCAGGCATGCCGTGGAATGCCAATGCTAATAGCCAGCAGAGGATTGGCTTCCACTTCGACACT